CCCTTTGTAATATTCTGTTCATCTCTTTTACCTCCTCATTTCATCCATTTGCTTTAGCATCTCTATACTGGAAAGCAAGATTCAGAGTCTTTTCTAGCATCCATTTTGGTCTTCTCCTTCTTTCTTGTCTTCTTAATGACCTATTGCTTTCTTCCTGGATGATGTTCTTGATATTATCCCCACAGCTCTTTGGGACTTCAGTCATTAGTGCCTAATGAATCAAATCTGTTCTTGATACGATTTCTAAATTCAGGTGGGATATATTTAATGTCATATTTTGGCTCGTGTGGACTTGTTTTAATTTTCTTCAGTTTCAGCCTGCACTTGCATATGAGCAACTGACGGTCTATTCCACAATCTGCCACTGGCCTTGTTTTGGCTGATAATATGGAGCTTTTCCACAATCTATTTCCACTTCTGTGTATTCCATCTGGTGAGAATTGAATATATACCATGTGTATAGTTGTCTTTTATGCTGTTTAAAAAAAGGTATTTGCAATGAGGAAATCACTGGTTTTGCAAAATTCTATCATGCAATCTCCCGCATTGTTTCTACCACTAAGATCCTATTTTCCACCTATGGATCCTTCCTCTTTGTTTCCAACCTTTGCATTCACATTGCTAGTAATTATCAATACATCTTGATTGCATGCTTGATCAATTTCAGACCAAAGAAGTTGGTAGAATTCTTCAATTTCACCATCACTGGCTTTAATGGTTGGTGTGTAAATTTGAATAGTAGTGGTATTAAGTCTTCTACCTTGCAGTGGTATGGATATAATCCTATCACAGACAACATTATACTTCAAGATAAATCTTGACATGTTCTTTTGATGATGAATGTGATGTCATTCTTCTGTAATCTGTCATTCCTGTCATAGTAAACCAAGTGATTGTCAGATTCAAAATGCTCACTACCAGTCCATTTCCACACACTAATTCCTAGGATGTTGATGTTTATACATTACATTTCATTTTTGACAACTTTCAATTTTTCTAAATTCATACTTGTATCATTCCATGTCCAATTATTAAAGGATGTTTACAGCTGTTTCTCCTCATTTTGAGTTGTGCCCCATCAGCTAATGAAGGTCTCGAAAGTTTTACTCCATTCACATCTTCACTGTCAACTCTATTCTAAGATGGCAGCTCTTCCACAGTCATATTTTGAGTGACTTCCAACCTGAAGGGCTCTTCTTCTGGAACTATATCTGACAATATTCTGATGTTCTTTATCATGTTTTGTATTCAATATTCGGGTGCTCTCTGACAGTGTTTCACTGCTATTCATGAGATTTTCAGTGGCTAAAGATTCAGAAATAGTCTGCCTCTCCTCCTTCCTTGTCTTCGTCTGGAAGCTCAGCTGAAACCATTGGTGACTCTAATGGAACTTAATAATATGATGGAACTCAGTGGCATAGATTCTAGCATCACAACACCAACCAAGCCACCACAGTGTGACAAACTGACAAATGAGTGGTGGTTCTTTCCTATTATAATTGAGAAATCAACAAGAAGCCTGGGCTTTCAGATTTTACTTCTAATTTACTGTGTTAGTGGAGAAAAGCTATACCAGATTACACTAGATGAGGTGTCTAAGATGGCCCAGAAGCTTGCTAAGAGACGGACTAGGGGACAGAGCAGGTAGTTTTGCAATTGGCTTATGTCCGAAGGTAAGACCTCCCCACTCCCTTTACCATAGGAACTTCATTTGCCACAGAGTATACTTCTTGTTGTTAGGGGTCATTGAGTCAGTACCAACTTATAGTGACCCTACGTACAACAGAACGAAACACTGCCTGGTCCTGGGCCAACCTCACAATTGCTGCCATGCATGAGCCCATTGATGCTGTCACTTAGCCAATCCATCTCACGGGGGTCTTCTTTTTCTCTGA